TCCACAAAGGGAAGGGGTGCCCACCTCCTGGGATATACCTGGACCTTCGACTCTTCTGCTGTACCCGTACATCCGCCTTGGGCCGTACAGCAGAAAGGGAGGGAAACTTCTAGTGCTCTGTAGGAAAAGAGGAAAGAGGCAGTGGAGAAATGTGCACAGCCTTGGGAGGGAACACTCTAGCCTTGCAGGGAGGAGGAAGGAAACCTCAGGCTAAAACCCTCCAGCAGACTGGAAAGTGTGCAGGCCCATTCCTCACAGCCCAGGAAATACAAGCAACTGCCTGACACAGAGTTTCCCTTGCCCCTTGGGGATCCTGACAAGGTTTGACAAAGCATAAATCAAAATGAGAAGCGGCATTTGCTGCAATTCTTTCCAAGTCAAAGCCTGATTAGTCATCATGTGACTGCTGGTTTGTGCCAACAAGGGGCCTGGATTCCTGGGCCAGGCTCTGAGCTCATTAGGTTCTTCAGTCACCGGACGGAGCACCTCCCACCAGCCAGATGTGAGCTCAGGCAGCCAAAGCAAGATGAATTAGAGGGAAGCCACCAGCCAAGCCTAGCACGTGCCTAAGACGAAGAGGAACACCACTGGCACCGGCTGCTAGGTCACTGTTCCCCTCGGGAGAGCAAGGGCAGGGGCTCCCAAGAAGGAATATCCAGCCCAAACCGAATGCAAATGAGGGAGACAGGACTCGGAATCTAAGGGAGCGAGAGTGAAGTCACAGAAGACAGTTCTGCTCCCCTGAGGACTCTTCTATCCTCAAATTTTAGAAAAACTGAAAAGCAGGATCCTAGGATCATCCATCCCAGTTTAGTCTACCAAACATTTACTGATGCTCTTGTGCGTCCCAGATGCTGGGCTGGGGTGTGGGGACCCAGAGACAGGGGAAGGTAAACCCTAGCCCGTCCCCAGGCAGAGACAGCCACAAACACAGGTGAGTGACAGATAAGGACCAAGACCTCCAGTGCACACTACAGGCACCGCCCACGTCACGCAAGATCAGCTTCTGAGAAGTTTGTATTTATAGGTAATTTTCTGCTTTAGAAGGCTTTGCATTACAAGAAGATTGATCACAGAATCCTTAAAGATTAAGAGGTTTGGCAATAATTCAACAATAGTTTTACTTATATAAATTCAATTTTTGTACATGTTTTAGGAACGTGTGTGCTTGTACCTAGGCTGACCTGTGTAAACACAAGTGCCCATCTTCTGGAGAGCCCTGACAGGGCTGTGAGTGCTCAGAGAAGCCAGCATCACCTGTGTTCTCACCTTTCCTGGCAGTCGTATTAGGCTCGGCACCCACTGGGTGGCTGGTAAATGGGACTGTCGGCACAACCAGTGGGGTCCTCAGTGGGAATCCAATCATGGACCATTTTCTATTACCTGGATCTCCTGTTGAGGGAGAGAATCTCCCAGATCTCTGTCAAGCTTGCTACTTATATCCTTCCGGAGCTTCTGCAGGCAGTTCCTGGCCTGGGAGGGGAGGGCAAGAGGCTTTAGCTTTGGGAAAGAGACCACCCACACCAACCCCACGCCTCTGTGTCTACCCGCAACCCATACTCCTGAGTCATATACTGTTCTAAGCACTAGCTCGGGGGAGGAGAGCCTCTAGTCAAGCGGGGCTGCAGCCCAGTCCCTCCTACACCAGCGGCAGAATAATAACACCCCTGCCCTGGTGGATCTAACATCCAGTTGGGGAGACACACAACCCAAAAGATAAATAAATAAAGCATGTAATATGTTAAATAGCGACAAGTGTCATAGAAACATGAAGCCAGGGCGAGGGTTAAAAAAGTGGGGAACCAAGGCTGGCAATTTTAGGTAGGGTGCCTGGGGCATAGCGCTAGGTGTATGGTATTTAATAAGTAGCTGGTGATCAATGAACTGGTTGATTAATGGAAGGGTCAGAAATGCTATTTGACACATGAGGGGACATGATAGCACTTTGGAGACAGGAAGGGAGCAGAAGGGAGAAAGTCAGAACCTACAAAGAAGGGAGCTAAAAAAATGTGAGGTTCAGAGAAATGACCTAGGTCACTTCCACAAAGGGAAGGGGTGCCCACCTCCTGGATATACTGGACCTCACTCTTCAGCTGGTTAATATTCTTCTCATGGATCATCTTATCTCCAGACCTCCCCTTCAAGTACACCTGAAAATAAGTGAAACAATACCACTTCATTAGGAAAACCTCCAGTTAAATTAACTGTGTACAGGCAGTCTCTTACACCGCTGGTTAAGAGGGTAAACTGTCACCACGTTTCTGGGTGGCAATCTGGTGATTCTAATTGGGAGACTTAAAACCAGACCTACTCTTTGACCCGCCAAATTTACCTCTGGAAACGTATCCTAACGAAACAAGTTTATCTGAACTAGCAACAACACTCACATGCATGTAAGTAAACCACGGAAAGGGAGTTGTTTAAGGGGATTTACACATTTTTCTCTGTATATTGTGCTTGAATCTTTTTCAATTTAGAAAGTATTTCTTTATTAGTTGTATTAAATAAATCAGATGCACAAGTTAGTAACATGTGTGCTCAAGAAAATATATTGTTTGTGGTTGCAAAAAATGGAAATAAAATATCCAACAATGGAAGATTAAGTAAATTATGGTATGTGCATAATAGACTATTATACAGTCATTTATGGATACAGAAGATGTTACAAAGTACCATTAAAGGTGGGGGGGGCAAGCAAACTGTAGAATAGAGTATATAATACAATTTAAAAAAAACACATATGTATAGGAAAATGTCCAAGAGGGTACACTATAACAGTGATTACATTGATAGAATTATGGCATGGTTTTACTTTCTTCAAAGGCCATGTAATGACTCTGAGTAAGAAAAATTAATTAAGGGCATCCAGATTGGAAAGGAAAAGGTAAAACTATTTGTAGATGACATAATCATGTATATAGAATATTCATATAAGAATGTCTGGAAGTTCCTCAAAAGATTAAACATAGAATTACCATCTGACCTAGCAACTGCACTAATGCTAGGTATTATCAAGAGAATTGAAAACATATGTTCACTCCAAAACTTGTACATGAATATTCATAGCAACATTATTCATAAAAGCAAGGATACAAAATCAATATACAAAAAATAGTTGTGACTCTATACATTAGCAATGAAAAATCCAAAAATGAAATTCAAAAACCATTCTATTTATAATAGCTACAAATTGGGGGAAGAAGCTTAGAAATAAATTTAACAAAGTCCAAAACTTGTATTCTGAAAATTATAGAACATAACTGGAACCAGAAATAAAAGACCTACAGAAGTAAACATCGTTTTCACGGATTGAAAAACTTAATATTGTTAAGGTGGCAATATACCCCAAGCTGAACTACAAATTCAACACAATTCCTGTCAAAATCCAAGCTGGCTTCTTTGCAGAAGCTGACAAACTGATCCTAAAATTCACATGGGGTAGGGTGGGTATAGCTCAGTGGTTGAGTGCATGCTTAGCGTGCACAAGGTCTTGGGTTCAATTCCCAGTACCTCCATTAAAAAAAAAATTCACACAGAAATGCAAAGGATCCTGAATGCCTAAAACAATCCTGAAAAAGAACAAAATTATCACAAAGCAATGGTAACCAAGATAATGTGGGACAGACCTAAGGACAGACATGTAGACCAATGTAATACACATGAGAGTCCAGAAATAATAATAATATAATAAAAATACACTGAGTTGACTTTCAACAAGGTGCCAAGACAACTTAACGGGGAAAGAACAGTCTTTTTAACAAATGACGTTGGTGAAAATGGACATCCTCATGCAAAAGAATCAAGTCAGAGCCCTTCCTCAAAACATACACAAAAATTAACCCAAAGTGGATCATAGACCTATTCATAAGATCTAAAACTGTAACTCTCTGAAGAAAGTATAGGAATAAATCTTTGTGACCTAGGGTTAAGCAAAGCCTCCTTATATACAACACCAAAAGCAAAAGTGACAAAAGAAAAAATATATATAAGTGGGATCTCCCCAAATTAAAAACTTGTTTCAAAGGACATCATCAAGAAAGTTCAAAAAAAATACAGATATATACACATATATGTATAACCAAATCACTATGCTGTACGCCTGAAACTAGTACAATATTGTAAATCAACTGTACTTCAATTTTTTTCAAAAGTTTAAAAAAAGAAGAAAAATCCACAGAATGGGAAATATTTTAATTTTTCCAAATCATGTAAGGGTCTAGTATCCAGAATATATAAAAGAACCCTTATATTTCAGCAATTAAAACACAAACGAGGGGAGAGTATAGCTCAGTGGTAGAGCGTGTGCTTAGCATGCACAAGGTCCTGTACCTCCATTAAAAAAAAAATTAAAACACGAATGAATTTTTAAATGAGCAAAGGATCTGAATATACAAATGGCCAATAAGCATATGAAAAGATGTCATTTGGGAAACGCAAATTAAAACCACAACAAGATACCACTTCATGTCCACTAGGCTGGCTATAATCAAAAAGATGGACAATAACAAGCGCTAGTGAGGATTTACAGAAATTGGAACCCTCATACATTGCTGGTGGGAATGTAAAATGGAACAGATGCTTTGGGAAAACGTCTGGTAGTTCCTCAAAAGATTAAATATAGAATTACCATATGACCTAGCAAATTCACTACTGCTAGGTATTATCAAGAGAATTGAAACCATATGTTCACCCAAGGATTTGTACATGAATATTCACAGCAGCATTATTCATAAAAGCAAGTAAGTGGAAACAACCCAAATGTCCATCAACTGATGAATGGGTAACAAAATGTGATCTATTCATTCAAGGGAATATGATTCAGCCATTAAAAGCAGCTAAGCATTGATACACGTTACAGCGTGGCTGAGCCCTAAAAATTCCGTACTAAGTGAAAGAAGCCCGACACAAAGGGCCACGTGTTGTGTGATTCCATTTATACGAAATGTCTAGAAGGTGCAAATCTGTAGAGACAGAGGGTAAACTAATGATCGCCAGGAGCTAGAAGAGGTGACTGAAAATGTTCTGAAATTAATAGTGGTGGTGGTTGCACAGCTTTGTGAACAGCCTGAAAACCACTAGATTGTACACTTTAACTAAGTGAATTGCATGGTATGTGAATTATATCTCAAAAGGCTATTTTTAAAAAAGAAATAACAAAAATTGTTTTAATATGTAAAAGTAAGTTCCATAAACACACTTCCCACCTGTCTTCACAACTTCTAGCAGCTAAGTATGGCCAGTGGGTGACACCTCGAAAGGTCATTCCACCCATCCCCATGCCTGGGGCTGGGTTGCACTAAAGTCACTACAGATTGACTGTGGTCCCTTGGTGTTCATTAAGATTCTTCCAAGAGATGGCCAGAAACTAGCATCGCGGGTCTGGTTCTTCCTAGTCAAACCACAAGCTCTCTTTGGCCTTTCCCTCTCAGGTGTCTGCAGGGAGATGGAGTGGAGCGGAAACAGTGGAGGTGAGCTAAGCTTACCTTAATGATCTCTTCATGTCCATCATTGGACTCCACCAGTTCCGAGGCCAGAGAATGCCCAGTGGAGCGGCCGGACACCATGGCATAGGTCTTCCTGCCCGCCTGCCAGAAAGAGAGAGAAAAGTGGCTCAGAAATCACATGACAAGCATAGACCTTTTGCCCCTCAGCCAATGCACAAGAACCGCTCCTCAAAAGACTTGAAGGGTTAGTCCGATTTTCATCTCCAAACATTCACTTCAGAACCTCTACCAGAAGCCACACAGCAGCAAGAACACAGGACGGGGGAAATTAGTAGAAAATTGCAGGTTAGTTTTAATGTTAGTGGGATGTCTCCCCATCCCCCGAAGCAGAGCACAATACTGAGGGCAGCTGGGGTGTCTGAAGGGAGATGCTCCAGCCAGCACGGAGACGGGGGCGGCAGCAAGGAGGGAGGACTGGATGAGGGAGGAGGCCTCACCCCACCAGAAACCTCGATACCTGCTGGGCTATGCGTTCAAGTTCATCTCCTGTCAGTTCACTCTGGAGGGTCAGCCTGAGAATGTCCACACTGCCCTAATAATGAGAATGACAGCAACGATAACCTCTTACCTTTACAGTCTACTACCAGCACAGGTGCACCTCTGCCAGCCCCGCGGAGAGGGCCTTGTTACAGCCATTTCTCAGACAAGACAAGCTGAGGTCTGCAGAGGTGACATCAGCTCACCCAAGATCAGGTCACTCCTGGGTGGTAAGGACATCTCCGGGGCCTCTGACAGTGCTCTTTACCCCACACAGAGACTACACAGCGCTTCGCTCCATGTGGCTCCAGAGGGGCTGCCCTGGTCCTCACATTACAGGAAGCACACTGCATGCGTTACCTCTTTCCCCAACCCTGAAAGGTTGGTCATCCCCAGTCCAGAACTTCTGCCCTGACAGCCAACCAGGAAGTTACTGATACACTTTTTACAAGACTAGGATATCTTTCTTGAACCAAACCATACGAAGGTCCCTTAATCCAAACCCTCATTTCTATGAGCCACACAGAAAATAATTCAAATGAGGGCAGGCAAGACAATAGGTATTTAATCTAGAGATCAAATTAATTGCAAAGGAAGAAGCAGACTTTCTTTCAACAACTCAAAGAAAGTTTAAAAAACACTGTGTGGTTACGAGGGAGGAAAGGGCAGGGGGAGGGATAAATCAGAAGTTTGAGATTTGCAGATACTAACTACTGTATATAAAATAGAAAAACAACAAGTTTCTCCTGTATAGCTCAGTATAGTGTATCTTGTAGTAACCTATAAAAAGGACTATATGCGTGTACATGGATGACTGAAACTTGATGCTGCACACTAGAAATTGACATTATAAACTGACTAACCCAATAAAGAAATTAAAATAAAAAACAAAACAAAACAAAACAAAAAAAACCTGCATTGTGGGGAAAATAGAAAACCAGAGAGGAAAAAACGTGGTAAGAGGGAAAAGCGGAGGGCTGGAGATTTGGGGAGATCATAACATTGAGAGAGGATCAGCAAGGGAGAGCGGACCAAACCCTGCCAAGAACCTATGTTATGTGCACAGGTGCACAAGAGGCTTAGTCACTCTGGACCTCTGGTTCCCACTGGAAAAATAAGGGGTTGGACTAAATATCTCTCTGGCTCCTTCCAGCTTTGGTATTATGAGAGCACGAAAGAGGTGTATATGCCTATCCCAGCCAGTGAAGGGAGGATGGGTGCTGAACTAGCCATGCTGAGAGTGACCTTGAGGTCATCTGGTCATACCCTGCCTTGAGGTCCAGAAGTACAAAAGCCATCTCAGTCTTAACAGGTTTTAAGGAACCTCCCTAACCTTCCAAATGTCCACTGGAAAGAAAGAGTGGACTCTGCTCAGGGAGCTGGGAGAAGCTTCTCTGGGCATGCAACAGTCCTTCCTACCCAAGAAAGAGTAGATTGGTGGAGAAATAATCAGCGTCTGCAGTCAGACACTTAACTCTCAGTGATCTTGCTGTAAAATGGGAAAACTACCCTCCACCAGAGGGGTTTCTGGTTGAAGATTAACTGAAAATGTATGGAGGTAGTTCTCTGCCACATAAGAGGAAGGTAGTCAAGTATTAGCCTCCTCTCACTTCTTGGAATGAACTCAGATTTAACAAAGATGGAAGACACTCCCACATGACCTTTAAGCCTTTCCAATTCTGGCAGTGTAGCTGGGGTTACAAAAACACTTAATTCCTACCAAACAAAAGCCAGATCCTTAGTGTGGCATTTAAGGCTCTCCACAGTCTGAGTCAACTCACGTCTCCTGCTATTGCTCTTCACTGCCCTCCAGCCAATACATCCCATGCTTACCCCCTTCAGTAACTTTGTTCTCATCATCTCCTTTGCTTTCAATCTTCTTTCTTTCCTGTTTCACCAGAGGCATCTGCAAGTCCCTCAAGAGTTTGCATTCAAATGCCACATCTTCCATGACACCTCCCTACATCCTGTGGGAATTTCCCTCCCTGAGCATCACAGGGCCTCCAGTGGGGGGGGGGGGGCACCTACCTCTCACTTATCTGTGATCTGTGAGGAACTGCCCCTTCTAACTGTTAACTCCTTGTGGGCTGCTGTCTGCCTCTAACAAAGGGAAGTATTTTCTGAATGCATAGTCAGTGTTCCATGACATCTAGGTCAAGAGAACATTACAAAATAAAGAAGAAATGATTTCAAAATAGCCAGAGTGGCTGACAACTCTTTTTCCCCAGGACACAGGCATGCACTTTGATTAAAACACAAACTCCCCATTCCTGGAGGCAGCTGGGATAAGCTGGGGCACCCCTCATCCAGAACAAAGGAGTTACTAACCAGTGAAGACCATCAAGTCTGGTTCATTTCATGGCATTCTACTTGGAAGAGCATAGAGAACTAGGCTGGACTGGGGCCTTGAGAGGTCATCACCTCCATTCATGTCATCAGAATCCAAGTTTGAAAGAAGAAAGAGAGAGAGTTGAAGAAGTACTCAAGGAAATAATGGCTGAAAGCTTCCCAAATTTGGCAAAGACATAAAAAACCTGCAAATTGAAGGAGCTGAGCAAATTCCAAACATGATAAACCTAAAATTCATGCCAAAATATATCATAATTAAACTTCTGATAACTAACAGCAAAGAAAAAGTCTTGAAAGCAGCCAGAGAAAAATGACACCTCACATATAGGGGGAAAACAATTTGAACAACAGATTTTCCATCAGAAACCATGAAGGCCAGAAGGAAATGGCACACTATTTTTCAACTGCCGAAAAAAACCCTCTCAATCAATAATCTTTTTCCAGGAAAAATATTCTTCAGGAATGGGAGGAAATCAAGATATTCTTAGGTAAAGGAAAATTAAGAGAATGTCTTACCAGTAGACCTATACTAAAACAATAGAGAAAAACCAATGAAACAAAGAGCTGGTTCTTTGAAAAGATCAATGAAATTAATAACCTGACAAGCAAGACTGACAAACAATAAAAGAGACATAAATACCAATATCAGGAATGAAATAGCATATTTCTACAGACACTGCAAGTATTAAAAGTATAAGGTATGCTATGAACTCTATGAACATAAACTTGACAATTCAGACATAATGAACCAAGTCTTCAAAAAATACAGACTACCACAGTGTATCTAAGAAATAGATAATATGAATAGCCTTATGACTATTAAAGAAATTAATTTCATAATTTAAAAAGTCTCTAAGAAGAAATACCCAAGCCCAGATGGTTCCAGTGGAGAATTCTACCAAATACTTTTTAACATTAGAAAGACATAAACAACATGGACAGCAAAAATGTGGGTAAATGAAATAGACTTTCTCTCTCCTCTTGAGTTTTCTACATTATGTTCAATGATTGAATATTTTTTAATTAGCACCAATTCGATTTCTACATAATCTCATCCAGAAAATAAAAGAGGGGAGAATACTTTCAAATTCACTTTATGAAGCTATTCTTACCATGGTAGCAAAACCAAAGCCAATTTTAAAGAAGAAAAAAAAAAAAACCTACAAACCAATATCTCTCATTAACATACAGATTTTATTCCCTAATATTTTGTTAGGACCCAGGTAAAAGACATAAAAAGATATTTCACTGAAGATACACAGATGGCAAATAAGCATAATAAGCAAATAAAAAGATGTTCAACATCATCAGGGGAAATGCAAATTAAAACCACAGAGAGATACCACTACACACCTATCAGAAAGCTATAACAAAAAACACAACACCAAACGCTGGCAAGAATGCAGAGAAACTGGATCACTGACACATTGCTGGTGGGAATGTAAAGTGACAAAGCCACTCTGAAAAGCAGTTTGCAGTCTCCTTAAAAACTAAATGGTGGTGGGGTGGGGCAGCATAATAGAGCGCATGCTTAACATTCACAAGGTTCTGGGTTCAATCCTCAGTATCTCCATTAAAAAATAAAATGAAATTAAAAACTAAACATACAACTACCATGTTACCCAGCAATTATACTCCAGGGCATTTATCCCAGAGAAATGAAGACTTATGTTCACACAAAAACTTGTACATTAATGTTTATAGCAGCTTTATCTGTAATATTCTAAAACTGGAAACAACGCAAACGCCCTTCAGTAGGTGAATGGTTAAACAAACTGTGGGAGACCCATATGATGGATAGCCGTTACTATTCAGCAATGAAAAGGATACTGATGCACGCGACCACAATTTCCAAAAATTATGCTAAGTGAAAGAAGCCAATCACAAAAGGTTACAAACTATATGACTCCATTTATATAGTATTCTTTTTTTTAACTTAATTTTATTTTTTTAATTGAGTTATAGTCAGTTTACAATGTTGTGTCAACTTTTGGTGTATTTATGTAATATTCTTAAAATGATAAAGTTACAGAAATGGAGAACAGATTAGGGGTTGCCAGGAGTTAAGGGGAAGATGGGGGTGGGAAGGAAGCAGGTGTGGCTGTAAAAGGGCATCCTGAGTATCTGTGGTGATGGAATTGCTCTATCTCGACTGCATCGATACCACTACCCTGGTTGTGACAGTGTACTGTGGTTTTGCAAGATGTTTCCACTGAGGAATGCTAAGTAAAAGGTATAAAGATCTCTATTATTTCTTTTAACTACATAGGAATCTACTATTATCTTTTTAAAAAAATTATACTACCAGAGACAAAAATTAAAGAATATAATAAAGAAAATAAGTAATTATAATCCTACTACTCCAAAATAGCCACTATTAAAATGTTAGTGTATTCCTTATAACTTTTCTATGCATATTTTTGAAAGGTCTACTACTGTACACAGTAATATACTGGCTTTTTTTCCCCTTTAATATTTCATCATTAATTTCCATCACATTAAACTTTCTTCAGAACTGGCTTATAATGGCCTCTAGTACACCACTGAATTGATCAGACTAATTTATTCAAACTAAACCCTCCCACCCCAGTGTAGGTTATTATCAACTTCTTTCATTTTATTTCTTATCTATTTATTTATTTTAGAAAATACATTTTATTTTGATAGAATGAGACGATACACAACAGTACCTAGATCACCACCAGA